ACATGAAAACTCGTCAAATAAGATGCTTAATTTACCTAAAAAAGAAAATTAACGGAGTGCCAGGCACAGGCCCAACCTTGCCCGCGATCAGGAAGCGTGATTAGTTAGGATGCGTTTGGTTCAGCTTTCCTAAGGTGCTTTATGAGAATGCAAATACCTTTAACTTAAAGCCTCTTGCATAAATGCAAATTGTGTTTGGTAAAAAATCCTTTGTGAAGCTATTTTGAGCCAAGTAGTATTTGGCAAAGGAATTTAGGATTTTTTTTATTAAAAAAAAAAAGTTTACCTTTCACTGGAGCCAGCGATGGGCTACAGCTGCCAGCGAGGGGCTACAGCCGCTCGCAAGCCAGATCTGGTGCCGGCGGCCGTCGCCCGAGGTCGGGCAACCTCGCCGGCCTCTCGATGGCGCTTCGCCGTCCCGATCTAGCCTCGGGTGGCTTTGGCCGGCCGCCCTTAGCCCAAAAAAGATGAACAGTCACAAGGGGCAAAATTGAAATATTAAATAATTAGTGAGGGTAGTTTGGGAAGAAAAAAACTGATTTCAGCATTAGGCAAATGCTGAAAGCTCAAAGTTGGTCTGGAGCAACCTCGGGCTTTTCGGCATTCCCAGTGCTGGCTTTCGGCCGAAAGCCCATTGAAAATGCTCGCCAAATACCTCAGCATTTCCCCAAGGGGCTTTCGAGGCCGAAAGTCCCTTGGGAATGCCGAACCAAACGCACCCTTAGTCCTAGATAGCTCTGTGGTAATTGTCAATAGTTTTTTATTTCAATTTCAAATAATTTTAGTTAATTCTTTTACCGTCTTTTTATTAGACTTAATCATTAGACTAAACACTTTTACCTTTATAAGTAAGGTCATGGCAGTGTTATTATATGTACCGATTCCGAACACTTGATTATATTCTACAAGTTACAGGACTCGACGTCATAAATTATTGAGAATTCAATTGTATAAAATTAGTAAGTTGAAAGACCAAAAACATAATTACCCCGTACTTTTTTATATGTCCAATGTAAAAAACTAAAAAATAGATATGACAAAGTATTTTGACCCAGAAACATATTATGCTAAAATAATTTTGTTGCGAAAAACATTGGGCATTTTCGTGAAACTTCCTCTAATCGTGCCTCTAATTTATGAGTTACAGGTTATATTATCAACATCACCTGTATGCAAATTCAACTAGAACTAAATGTAGGTAATGACGATGCATGCAATCGACCAATAAAATTACTAATAAGAGAAAATTTCCTTCAATTAGGGATAGGGGAACCCTGACTATATTGGTGATTAAACGATAGCACGCACACGAGGCTGATGTACACTATACCATTATGATGTGGAGCTGTAACTAAGTACAAAAAAGGTCATAAAATGTCGTAAAAGTATTTGCAATGTTACAACGCTTCGTGATATGAAGTTCAACCGCTGGACTATACAATACATTGATGTACCTCAGAAATTTCGCGAAAGCTAAGTATATGCTAATGGCAACAACCCCATGGTGGCACCGACACGAAGTACTTCATCTTCATAGATAGCAAGCCAGGCAGGCAATAATCAGCTACAAAAGCTAACCTTAAATTTGCCATTTTGAGAGGAGTGGTTGTTGATCATTAAACTTTTTTTATTTAATTCTTCCTAGCACTTACTTTATGGTACTCCATTATGTAACCAAAATAAATCAAGAGATAAAGAAGTTGTACAATTAAGTGCGCATAATTAGAATTATTAATGATAGGAAAGAACAAGGCTTTGATTATTGGCCTGGTGATGGGGACGTTAAGTCCAATTTTCAATGACCTCCTACCTAATACAAAGCCGACGTGTGGACCGCACTAATCAATTTCTTGCTTGGTGTCATAGTCCACATTTTTTTTGGACCTTCTGTTTTTCGTTTTAATTTGCGCCTCTTTCGGGAGTAGTTAGTCAATGATTAATAATTAACATGAGTTTTTAATATGACAATCGAGGCCGACCTATCTGCTCGTAATCTCTATAGAATTGAGGGTCGGTCTTGATGGCTATTAGGGGTAATCGGTTTTAGAGTGAATTAGTTCCAACCCTAAAACTAGATCTGATATGACCGTTTCCCCATTCATAGAGTTGGGAACTGACTCTTTCTATTTGAGAACCTGATCAGTCAATCTACTCTAGTTCCTGGGTTGGAGTGGAACTGGCTATGCAAACTTTTTATTTTAACTTTTTGTTTCTTCAATTATGATCGCCACAAGAATCGTATTGTTTTTTTATTAGATAGAAAGTTGATTACAGCTTAAAATGTCGTCATATGAGCCTATACACAGATCATGCACCGAGAAGTGTCACCGTTTATCTGAAGTACTGCGTGCTACATAGATGAATTGCGTGCTACATAGATGAACATAATCTCTCCCAGAGAACAGCCATTGATGAAGTTACATCCGCATGCAATGACATCACTACTAGTGCCATCCTCTTTTAGTCGTCTGATGCCTATATGCTTCTACAATAATGTGTATTAAAGAAAACATTGTACTCTTTAGTTTGGAAGAGAAACATAATTACAAACGAAGAAGAAAAAGAATATCAAGGTATACCAGCCTAGTCCAATCAGTCTGGCTACGTACAAGGAATCGGGAACCGGATCGGTTATTCCCAATTTCAAATTTTGGAAATTAGGAACCGACTGGTCCGTCCAATTTTCAAGTTGGATCGAGACCGGTACTCACCCCTAATAGCTATTATCGTGGTTTGGCTTAATGATAGGCTAAGATATCTTCATCGATGAACAATTTTGAGGGTGCACGTATCCAAAGTCTCCTATGCATATGTCGCATATAAATCATTGGGTAAGACCTATACAATCCTCCGTCAGGCTTAATTACACTCGATCATTGGCAAAAGCGATGTTTTGAACCTGAGATTAAAATAAGAAGGACAAACGCACTTGCATGGGACCCACCTCATGGCCCTTGTGTGGCAGCGGGACAAACCCTGGAGATGGCAAGCCTCAAAAGCATATTCCTCCCTACTTTTGATTCTTTCTTTGATGCAAAATCCTCCCACGAGGGAGCATCCCAAACGTGCCTCGGCAGCGTTGTCGTGAAATTGAACTCTCTTTTAGGACCACCATCTTTATGTTGTTGGCTACTCTTAAGGAAATATCAAGAGCAAAACTATTTTTTAGGGTGAAGAGAAAATTCGCGCTATCTCTACTTGCGCCGCTTGCAACTGATAAGCTCCCTTGCAAGGGTACAGCATAGGCGTCACGATTGCACCGGATAAGTCCCGAAAGTTGCGCATGGGGTTATTAATTGCACAGGTCTACGAAGTGATGAGCTCCAAGCCAGATGCAATGTTGTCATAAGGCCAAACTAAAAAAAATTATTTGTAGATGTAGGGACCCTAGAATTGATGAGGCAGGGACCCTAGAATTGAGCACTAGCAAAAGCATCGTTTCGAAAATTGGGTTGGGTGCATTTTTGTTCATTTCATTAGAGATGTTTTTTTTTTTTGGAATGGAATGTGAGTTGTTCTTGATACCGCATTTTGAGGATATATATATATATAGGCAAAACCTATACATATTATCCTTTTTAGATAAGGTTTCTCCCCTCTCTCTTTTTTTTTTTTTTGGCTTCTTTATCCTCTTTTTTATGCTTCTTGATATAGTGCTTTTGTAGACAAAGTATTTGCATCGAGTGGTTGACATACAAAAGAAAAAAAAAAAGAAGAAGCTTTTGGTACATCTTTGCAAGGCACGCGGAGAGCATTTGAGTTCATTTCTCTTTTAGAAATGTTTGACCAAAATCAATACGCGATATTCATCGTTCCTATTATACATTTGAATTAGCATTTCACGGTAGCAACTCGTCATTATATCTCTACTTACATAAAGCATATTATAGGAGACCAGCCCCTAGGGATTACCACCAATGAATGCCTAGTGAGATTTTAAAAGGATAAAGCCGAGTTGGTGGATTCCGAGCCTCCCGTTTCCTTCCTCACAAGAAATTTCCCCTTGGCAAGTTACGAGAGCGTGTCCTCGAAAAACAACATGTTCCTCGTGCTTACGCGCGTCACTATTTTTGAAAATCGAAATTTCTTACCTAGACATGTACGGTTCAATAAGCCCCGAAATTATAGACGGTGCAACATTTATTAAAAATTGATGGCTCACTCAGTACCTCGGGAATTTGAGCAGCCAACCATATCCCGCCACGTGTCGGCGCCCAGATGGTCGGGGCCGCCCGTAACCTGAAAACCACAAATTGGATCCGTCCCGCTGGCGCACTGGAATTATTATTATAGGGTCGGATTTTGCGCTCGTTTTCTGGACACTCATCGTACGAGAAAATGACGTGGCCCCACGCCACTGCATGACTTCTCGGGAATATTGCTGAGTCAGCCGTCCCCATCTCCAAAATGTTAAATAAAATGAAGACCTCCCCCCCCCCCCGCCGGCCGGCCTCTTTGCTGACGTGGACGGGAAAGTCCCTCACCGCACGACCAATCATCGCCTTCCACGTCATCCGCCACGAACCGGGTCTTAACGTTGTTTTTATATTTTTTTATGTGTATATATATATATGGAATGCAAGGCGGGACAATCGTTTTCCCCCGAGTTTAATAGCCCATTAAATCACTATTAAAAACAAAATTTTATGTTACACGACCGCGATTAGTTAGGAACGAGGATTGAATTTGCATCGTAAAAGCCTTTTGATTGCCGTAGTTTCGTCACCGTATGACCATGTTTACATGTCTCGTTCGACCAGCATAAATGCACTGATCTATGCAATTTAAAATAATTTGTTCATATGCCCGTTTGATTAGGTTATTAGCGAGAGGTGCATTAAGCTTTCGATGTAATCACGTGATTAAAAAGGACTGACATGACCAAGAAAGGATAAAGAAAAGGGCAAATGACTCCTTTCCTGGCATTTTGCCCTTATAAAAAGAAGAGACGGAGGAGTTCTCCAAACCTCCTTCCTCTTCCTTTCGCTTGAAGCTCCATAAGGAAAAAGCTCTGCTTCTTCTCTTGAATTCTTCTCCTTCCCTCTTTCGTTTCGCCGTCGAAACACCCCCGTTCGCTGAACGATTCTCTTCGATCCGACCCAGTTTTTCGTCTTTTGCAACGAAGAGACGTGGTCATTGAGATGCCGCTCATAAACAGAATAAGCGACTTCGAAGCGGGCATAAGCTCTCTGCAAGACCCATCTTTCCTCTCGCAGTTTCTCTCGTTTTCCGTCAGAACGATCTCGCAGGCCTACGGTTTCTGGAAGTGGGGCGCTCTGGTCCTCGCCCTCGTCGCTTCTTTCGGCACCATAGTCAACCGCATCAGGTTCCTCATCATCAAGTACCAGAACGACCTCGTTTCGGATCCGCCGTCACAGTCCCGACCCTTTCTCAGAAGCTGCCTAGATCGTAGCGAGGAAGACGATGCCTGCTCGTCAGCGTCTTGCTCTGCTCCTTCTTCGGAAACAGAGGAGGACGAAATCGAGCTTGTGAGCTCGCCCCTCGAAGACCCATTTCGAAACCGCGAAGTTTTCGTCGTCAAGGGCTCGGCGAGTTCGCAGCGCGAGGGCGTGAGCTCGAAACTGCGGCGACGGCAGAGCTTCTTCTGCGACCACTTGTCGGACTTCTGCGACCGAACGGACGTCGTCAAGCTCTGGAATCTCGGGCTCGAGATTGAATTGGACCCCGAAGGGGAATCTCCGACTTCTTTTGGGGACGCCATCTCCGTCACCGACTTGAACACGGGACAGAGATTGAGCTCGTTCTCGTCCGGCACGTCCGGGATCCCGGCGATTTCCGCCTCGCCGCTGCGGTCGCCGGCGGCGATCGTGTCCGCTGGAGTGAGCAGCTCGGGGAACATGGCGCTGAGAGTGTGGGACACGCGCACGCGCCGCCGGGCGCCGGCGATAATCGCCGAGTGGGCTCCTCGGCCGGCGGGGAGCGTCGAGCGGGTCGACTGCGGCGGCGTGGAGAAGCTGTTCTTGGAAGCGGGCGGGGAGCTGATGCTCGGAGACATGAGGAACGTCAGTTCGCCGCTGAAGCGCGTGGCGGAGGCCGACGTCGAGACGTGGTGGGACGCCGACGCGGTCATCGTTTCGGACGAGCTGGTGAGCGAGTCGAGGGCCAAGCGGTTCTGACGGCCGGGTTGCGAGTCAGGGGTTTTCCTTCATTTCGCCGGCGGTCCGGCGTGCCGTGCTCTAGAATAACGGCCGACGTGGTCGGATAGGAAAAAGAGAACGTGGTGGATTTGACTCGCGTCTGTAAATACGAGTTGTCCTTCCCAATTTCCTCCTCAATTCAAGAAAAGATCAATTTAACAAATGATTTGGACAGACAACATATGTTAATGTATTGATGTTTGATTTCTACGTAGCTTCTGCTTCGGTACACAAATCTTCTTTCCTGATAGCTTCCTTGCAAGTGAAGGGCTAATGATCCTTCTTCTTCTTCTTTCAATTTTTGTTCTTTCTGGGACTTTTCTTGCCAAGTAATTGCTCATTCGAAGGCGATGGGTGTTCACTTGCGTACTAAGACTATACCCGTGTTGTGTTTTTTTCACATGTGCCGTCTTTTCCTAGCGATAGCTCCATCGACAATGTAGAAATGCCAAACACGGTGCGCGAATAATTTCTTACACTCCAATTTTTGACATCACAGGAGAGAATCCGGCATACATTTTTTTTATGGCTCTTCATGATGTTTTCTGCTTCCAAGCATCGACATTGGCGAATTTGCTCGGCCCACGAAAGCTCTAAATTCTTTCAGGTCAAAGGTTGATTGCCCACTAACTCGCAGCTGAAAAGAAAGGTTAGCTAAAGAGAACAAATAAAGTAATGCCCTGCTACTTAAATTAAGTATCTGAAATTCTGAATTCTGAATTTTTTTTTTGGGGGCTAAAGTATATCAAATTGTGAATTGGAGATTGGAAAGGTCGTTGAGACACGTGAGAACCTCATTATTTTGGAAGGACATACAGACAGATTCAGGACATTGCAATCAAGTCCAGCAAGGAAATGAAAGGTGAGTGCTAACCCCATTACTTCAGTGATTGTACGTCTGTGTTCCTTAATCGGAGATGGGAAGTCTGTTGTACCTAATGAGGTCGGGCCATTTCTCTTGAAAGGCTACTTGGCCCTCGCCGGCTTATCTTCGGAAGCTCCGCGAGCAAACATGTCACGGGTCAGCGCATACAAAGCTCGGCACGTCTATCTCGAAAGCGCTAACCTTAAGAAAAACAGAGCCGGGTTTATGAGCATGCAACTTGAACCCGTTCGTATGTGCTCGATCTGGGACTTCGTTCACTTCAACTGCAACAGACTGGCTTAGCGACGGCTAGGCTGCCCGCTTCAAGCCCTGATTGACGCTTTACGAGCCAGGCCGGGCACGGCGAGGATAAGATATTAAAGGGTCATGCTAAGCATGGCCTATTAATGTGGTCCATGCAGAAGACTAGATTATGACCTCGCCCCATGATTACATGAACCGTATGGGCAAAAAGAACAACGATGCCTCGTGATTTAACTTTTCACGTTTTGTATTTGTCTCTTATAAATTCCGAAATTCTTAAGCTTAAGCGATCCTTATTCTCACTACAAATGCAATCTCTTAAGCACTCTCATGCTCCCTACGTTTTCTTAATAAGTTTAAGTAGGGAAAATCACTCAATCAAGTACTAAACCATTTGTACGGATGCCAACTCAATCATATACTTTCCGATTTTGCAAATTTAGTATTAAACTTTTGCGCGAAATTCCAATGTACTCTTCCTAACCAATTTTCGCCGGAAATCGCTAACGTAGCAGTTCAATCATCGCCGGCCATCCTCATGGTATAAGACCACGTCAGTGATTCCCGGCAAAAATTGATCGGAAGGACCAGATTGAACTTCCACCCAAAGGCTTCGTAGTGAATTGGCAAAATTAGAAAGTTTAGGACTGAATTAACATCTGTATAATAGATTTATGACTAACCGGATAATTTCCTCAGTTTAAGTCTTATATTCTCGTGCACTCTTGTTACTTAGAATCCCCGTCTAAACACCTTGTTCTTTCGTTTAGGAGTCTGTTGACAAGAGACTTGTCGTACTTTTATGCCTTGACTAGGCAAGTGAGGCGGCCGACGAACTGGCTCCACCCGGACCATCAATTGAATGATTGAAGCCACTTGAAGGGGTCGCTCAAACATCGCGGCGCCGAATGAAGTTGAGAAAGGGAAGTGAAAAATGAACAAATTCTAGGACGGGAATAAATCAAAGAGCAAGCGAGAATGAAGTCGATAGAATATTCTTTCCTGGTTTTTAACTACATGCAATTTCTTTGGGGGAAGGATCATGCTTGGCTTGAGCTTTTAGAGAGCTCAAACTGTACGACTCTGTACAAGTCGTAATGTGTAATTAGTTTCCCAGTACGAGGTCGTTGTTGAAGGTTGAGCCTGTCTATCTTATCAGATAACAGCAAATGAAGAACATGTTTTCCTGGATAAGCTTATAGCTGAAAACCGTACCCATTTGCGAATGTGCTGCGGATGGAACCGATCATAACAGTAGGAAAGAGTATAAAAAACACTCGTATTTTCTTTTTTGCAGGACTGAAAGTTTTGGGTTCTAATGTTTCTTGACGTGTGATTAGTTTGACTTAGTAGAATGTGTGCAGAGAATCAAAGACGACCCAGTTTGGTGTGATAAAAGGACTTGATCTGACATTAGATTTACTCAATTATGTACATTGAGGCCCTTCTATCATTCCGGGTAGTCCAAATTGATCAAAAAACACCACAAGGGAAAAAGACAACAACTGCAGCAGGCATTGCGAAAGCACAAGTGATCCAAAGAGTTCAAAAGAAAAGTTCACGGCATAAACCCTTTATTCAACCCGAGCGGGTAGTGAATTTAGAAGCCCCGGGGGCTTGTAGGCGATGAAGCTGATGCACTGCACTTGGCGCTTGTTGTCGAACCCGATGATCCGGATGAACGAGTGGGGATAAGCCTTCTTGGCCTCCTCCAGCTCCTTCAACACCTGGGCCGAGTCAGTGCACCCGAACATGGGGAGCTTCCACATTGTCCAGTAGCGCCCGTCGTAGTACCTGGGGGACTTGTGGTTCTCACGTTACACGAACCCCTTTTGCGCGACGTTGAGGATCACAAACACAACATCAGATTTGGGAAGGCACATTCCTAAATGAGTGCTATTTAGAGACATCTAGTTGAGTATTTAGAGAGGATGAAGAGGAAACGTCACCTCGAGCTCAAATTCAAGGCAGGGAATCCATCCCATGCGAAGGAGGTAGTCGACTTCCTTGGCCAAGGATTCGGGAGAGAGGGGAAGGAGGTAGGACAGCATCTCGAACTTCTTCTTGCCGACCGGAGGCCACACCTGACAGTCGCCATGACAGTCTTCTTAGTACCATGTTCCACTCTTTAGTATTTTTGTCCTAGAGCTCGAGTACATAGAAATCTCAAGATCGATTAAGTCCGAATGTCGCACCGAGCACGCCATTTCGAAGCCGAGTTGAGTTTAAGTACAGTGGAATTGAGTCCATTTAATTAGTTATCTAGAGATTAGCATTGTTGTTGTTAATCATCACAAAGTGAGGCAGTAGACATAAAATGCAATTGGATCTACATATCCTAGGGTCCACATTTATCGGAGAGTGATAGTAAAGTCCACCTAATGATAACAATCTAGTGTAAGCACCTGCATGCATTGGACTCTTCCACCATTGCTGGAGAGAGAGGTGATGTCCTCGTTCGACTTGCGGATGACCGGGAAAGCGGAGGCGGACTTGAGGCCAGTGAGCGGGGCGACCATGGCGGCTTGAGCCGGGGCGGCCTGGACAGCCGGGGACGAGAGCATTGAGGACAAGGCCATCTCCGATCTCCCCTTTTGTGCAAAACTGTCTTCAACACCACAAAAGGCTTATCGCTCTCTTCTCGTTGCTTGAATGCACATTGCAAACCATGCCCTCTATTTATAGCCCCACTCGACCTCTCGATTTTTAGGATGTGAATTCCACTTGAATTGGGAAGAAAAATATTATAATTTGCGAAATAAATGAGAAAATGGGAAAAAAAAAATCGTGGGCTTGGACGGATTTAGCACTCGGGCCATTTTATCCGGATAAGAGACGGGATAGACACGAAAACGCCTCTAAGGAATTGATGCTAATCAAGAGTGTGTCATCTTGAATTTTTTTCACTTTTTCTTTTAAAAAAATTTAATTATTTTTCCTCGATTTTTACATGAGCATCTCGAGTCTTCCCATTTGATTAAGAAAGAGGACAAAAAGGACCACCAATTGGGAGAATTCTATGACAAATATGTCTTAATCTCGTAGTGGTCCCGACCATCAATTGTTCGTTTGGTTCGATGAGGACGAATGAGCCAATGCTTTTCAGTACTCATTCGCCGGATCCGCGTCGGTTTTGAACGAATCCAAGTTATATTGAGATATCGATTGCAAGAGTTTGGAATTTGTGGCCACGCTTTCATGGTACTGAAAGCCTTGGTTATCTTTGATCTTGGTAAATAAAGCCTTAATTGTCTTAAGATATTAGGAGATTGACACGACGGGCTGATTACAAAAAAGTCCTACATCTATTTTACGGTTGTTAATTTGGTACTGAACCTTTCAATTTAGCCTATTCGACGGAAAAAAAATTGGCTTAAACATTTTGACAATTTGTTAATATAATCATTCTCATTAATTTTGGCCGAAAATGACTTATATAGAGGGATAAGTGCACCGGAAGTCCTAAAACTTATTACGGAAGTGCAATTAAATCTTATAACTTGAATCAAGTCCTAAAATTTGTTAAATTGGTGCAATCAAATTCTTCCGTTAACTCCGTCCAATTTTGTTAAAGGAAATTACTGACGTTGCTATTTTAAATATTTTTTCTCTCTCTTACGTGGCTAAAACATGAAATATATGACTAAAACGACGACGTTTTGATCCAAATATAATTTGTAATATAAATTTTATTTGAATAAAATTAAAAAATAAGCTAATTAAAAAAAACACACACACACAAGTGAGAAACCAGCAGCGAGTCTCCCCCTCCCTCCCCCCCGGCGATGGTGGGGGAATGGTCAACGGGGTCCCTTGCCCAGATGTGGCTGAGGGCCAGCGACCCTCGCCGCCATGTTTTTCACCTACCTTTCTTTAGTTTTATTTTTTTATTTAATTTGAATAAAATTTATATTAAAAATTAGAAATATACCAAAACGATATCGTTTTAACTATGTCATCGCCACATACGATAGAGAAAATAAAAAAAATTAACATCAGTATTTTCCGTCAGCCAAATTTTGACAAAGTTAATGGAAAGACTCGATTACACCAATTTGATAAGTTTTAAGACATGATTGCATTTTCGTCAAGTTTTAGAATTCAATTGCACTTTCGGGACAAATTTTAATACTTCCAGTAAACTTATCCCTATATATTATATGGGGTAGATGCCCTTATTAATTCCGCCCACATTTACCCAATATATGGTATATGGTATTTTTTTTGTCGCTAGTGCGAGGGCCGTGACCCTAATTAACTCATCGCCAGCCACAATAACAAATAAAATAAAAATTTTAAGAATGTCTACGGCGGCGCCAATCGTGCCAGATAGGACTACCGATGTTCATGTCAAATATTTCTAGCCAAAATTAGTCGGAACGACTACATTGACAATTCGTCAAAAGATTTAGGACTAAATTTGATCAAATTGAAAAATTTGGTCCGAATTAATATCCATAAAATATATTTATGACTTTTTTGGTAATTTTCCCTTGATATTGCCCGGGGCTAATGGGGATTTGCGGCCTCGTCGAGGAATTAGGTGCTCCGTTCTGATTCAATCATGTTCTATCATCTACCCACAGGATCCTCTCTCTCTCTCTCTCTCTCTCTCTCTCTCTCTCTCTCTCTCTCTCTCTCTCTCTCTCTCTCTCTCTCTCTCTCTCTCTCTCTCTCTCTCTCTCTCTCTCTCTCTCTCTCTCTCTCTCTCTCTCTCTCAAGCTTTGCTTAACTTGATAAAGATCATTTCTTGTGGCGCACCGCAATTCATTGAATTCGATGATGGGGTCTCACTCTCGATGCTGCTTCTTATCTTGCACGATAGAGATCAACCGTTTAGTTTGTGGTTATGGAGTGGCTTTAAACGAGAGGCAAAGACTGCCTCATCGGTGTTCTTATGGTGTTCCCTTCTTTTTTTCCAAGTCTAGAGAACTCGTTAAGTTTTATGGTTCCTGCTCTTCTTCTTCTCAGACTGATCAGATCACCGCCAGCCCCGTCGTTTTCATCTTCTTTGTCCCCAAATGGTTGAGATAAATTTTCACGGGTCTAGCTATAGTCCCCCGACTCCCCACAGGCACGGCACCACCACAATCTTTCGCCGTTGGATTGAAATGTGGCAGAGCTTATTCGTTCTAACATATCTCAGTTTGGGTTATTGTGCTATTTTGCTTTTTGATCCAATGAGCTCACCCGTTAAACTTTGAGCATTGACTCAAAGTGTCACACCCTGAACACAACCAAAACGGGATCATAACACGGCCGTCTTTTTACCCAAAGGACGCAGCCTCAACTTAAACAAAACCCAAATAACATCATAGCTTTCTAAAACCATCAAAAGGATATATACAAATCCAACAAAAAGCTATTCCAATAGCTCAACGTCACTATGTATAACGTACCCAAAATCCCACAATCAAAAAGAAATCCTCCGACTAACGCCCGCTCACGCCCTACTTGCGGCCAGCAGAAGAACCTGAAAGATATGTAAGATAAGGGGTGAGCTACCACGGCTCAATGAGTAACATATTTCTTCTAAGCGGATCGAACAATCAGTATGCAATAGTATCAAAAATATCACAGCCCATAACTCAAACTCAATGTACAATATAGCCAAAAATATCTCAAAGGTATAATAACTTTTCAATAAAAGTCATCCGTATCAGATTACTCAATAAAAACTCACTTAACAACAATAGCCAATCATCAATGGTCTATCCATTGACTAATCTCATCACATAACACATTGATGGTTTATCCATCAACCAATCTCATGCTCGTCATCAAACTATGGTCAAGTTTAACGCCGTGACAAAGGCGACCAAGTTTACCCCTCTTGGCAAGGTCTACCACCTATTATAAGCCGGCGGTTCGGCCCAGAAGGATATCCTAACAGTATGCATACTCCCCCCTCAACGGGTTCTCAACATAGGAATACGAGCAGCAGCAACTTATAACTCAATCCAGAAATCCATAATCAACACCAATAAATCCATTTCACAAAACATTTCGCAACAAGAATAGCCCTCGGCTAATCCTCTTCACAAAACCTTTAATATAAGCATTCACAAAAGCTTCATTTCAATAACGTCATAAGACTTTTCAACTCATTTCACAATCGACAAAAGGTAGTAAATGATCGATCCAATTTATGCAGAAAACATGCTCCACTGTATTAAAAATTATATCTCATTATCAAAATATGAATTTGTAAATTCATAGAAGATATAATGTCCCTCACCTGGTAATCCAAAAACTAACCCATATGTGTTACTCGAGCCGACGGTTTCAAAATCCTATCAAACATACGGAAAACGAATCAAAACGAGTAATACTTCCCCCTAACGTGCGATTCGAATAAGCTAAGGCTAACTAGCCAATAATCCGACATCCACGTGCCCACAACGGCTTTCTTAAAGGAAAAAAATCTAATGCCAACCACAACGAACAACTCGCGCGCCAAATTTCCACGCGCCATAACTTCCTCCACCGGACTCCGTTTTGTGCGCTCTTATAGTCAAAACGAAACTCATCTAGCATACTATGGATGTCCCAACACAACCAACCCAAACAACAGCCCAAAAACGACAATAAAAGCCCTGAAAAGTACTGTTCACGAAATTCCAGATTATGCTCTCAACTTGAAAATTTGATTCCGGACAAACCGTAACTCCAAATCGATATCCGTCAAAACGCACAGCCCCACAACACCATAATCTTTCATTTTCATGGATATTTAAGACTTGACAACTCAAAAACTTGGACTACGCAGCTCAAATTCACATAACTCTTATTTCCGAGCCCTAATCGAAAAATTACTTCGATAGGACTAACGAGGGTTGCGAGTACTTACTAGTCGTTGCGTTAAGTAGTCGGAACGGCTCGTCGAGGACCCACGCGCACAAACCCTCCCTTTCACTTCTTCCCTTTCTCCTCTCCTTTTTCCTTTTCATTTCCTCTGTTTTTCTTCTGTTCTCCCGCGACCAGCCGCTGCTTTCTTCCTTTTATCTTCACTTTTTGACTTTTTCTTCTTTTTTTTTAATCCTCCTTCGGCCTAAGTCTTTTGACCTGGTCAAAAGAAGAGGCAAATGTTACATTCTACCCTCCTTAAAAAATTTCGTCCTCGAAATTTAGCTTTACCTTAACTTTCAAACAAATGAGGGTATTTATTTCTTGCTTCCTCCTCAAGCTCCCATGTGGCCTCTCTCTCAGTATGATTTTGCCATTGAATTTTCACATAAGGGATTGTGTATCGCCGCAGCACTTGCTCCTTCTTATCCACAATGCGAATAGGCTATTCTTCATATGTCAGGTTTTCTCTTAACCTCAAAGGAGTGAAATCCAATACGTGTTCAGGATTTGGCACATATTTTCACAATAAAGATACATGGAACACATTATGAACTCCAGATAACGCTGGTGGCAAAGCCAGTTTATAAGCAACTTCACCAATCTTCTCCAATATCAAGAACGGTCCCACATATCTTGGACTTAGTTTCCCGCGAGTGCTAAATCTCATAACACCCTTCATAGGTGAAACCTTTAGGAACACGTGATCTCCCACATCAAATTCTATCTTGCGCCTCTTAAGGTCTGCATAGCTTTTCTGACGGCTTTGAGCTATTTTCAGTCGCTCTCGAATCAACCTGACTTTTTCTTCTGATTGTTGTATAAACTCAGGGCCAGTCAACCTCTTCTCACCAACATCGTCCCAACAAACCGGACTTCTGCATTTTCGACCATATAGTGCTTCAAAAGATGCCATCTTAATACTGGAATGGTAGCTGTTATTGTAGGAGAATTCTGCCAAGTGAAGATAGTCATCCCATGAACCACCAAAGTTAATAACACAGGATCGTAGCATATCATCTAACGTCTGAATCGTCCTCTCCGATTGCCCATCTGTCTGTGGATGAAAAGCCGTACTGAAGTTGAGTTTAGTACCCAACGCCCCTTGTAAGCTCTTCTAGAAGTTGGATACAAACCTAGGATCTCGATCAGAAACTATGCTCACTGGAACCCCATGAAATCTCACTATCTCATTGACGTACCGCTTAGCCATGTCTTCAAGTGAAAGGCCAAATCGATACGACAAAAAGTGTGCCGATTTAGTCAACCGGTCGACAATCACCCATATAGCATTCTTGCCGCTTGGCGTTCTCGGTAAACCGACGATGAAGTCCATGGTAATATGCTCCCATTTCCACTTAGGTATCTCAAGTGGATGTAGTTGTCCACCTGGTTTCTGATGTTCAATCTTTACTTGCTGACAAACCAGACATTGATCGACAAACTTTACAATGTCTTTCTTCATGTTGACCCACCAGAAATGTCCTCTCAAATCTCTATACATCTTAGTACTTCCTGGATGAATCGAGTATTTAGTGCTGTGAGCTTCCTGCAATATTTCCTTTTTCAACTCAGGATCATCAGGAACACATAGCCGACCACGAAACCTCAATGACCCATCTACATGAATACTCAAATCCAACTGTCTCCCAGCTTCTACGCCTTCTCTGATCTTTCCCAACTGAGAATCATCATTCTGTTTAGCCTTAATTTTGTCAATCAATGTCGGTTGTACTCGAAGATTAGCTATCTGAGCACCCAATTGATGCACCAACACCTCCAAATCTAGCTTCCTCATATCCTCAAGGATAGGCTGCTGAGAAGTGAGCAACATTGCCATGTTTCTAGAAAATTTACGACTTAAGGCATCCGCTACTACATTTGCCTTACCTGGGTGATAATTGATGGATAAGTCATAATCCTTCAAGAGTTCTAACCATCTCCTCTGCCTCATGTTCAATTCTTTCTAAGTAAAGATGTACTTCAAACTCTTGTGATCAGTAAAGACCTCACATTTCTCACCATACAAGTAGTGTCGCCATATTTTCAAAGCAAATACAACTGCTGCCAATTCAAGATCATGAATGGGGTAGTTCTTTTCATGTCTTCAACTGTCTAGAAGCATAGGCCACCACTTTATTGTCCTGCATAAGAACGCACCCTAAACCTTCTTTAGATGCGTCACAATAAATTGTGAAGCCACGAGTTCCTGAAGGTAAGGTTAATATGGGAGCCGTCACTAACCGCCTTTTCAATTCTTGAAAACTGCGCTCACACTGATCAAACCATACAAACTTAACTCCCTTTTGAGTTAGGCGAGTAAGTGGACCAGCTATTTTGGAGAATCCCTCTACAAATCTCCTGTAATAGCCAGCTAGCCCAAGAAAACTTTTCACTTCTGTTACATTGGTAGGGCGATTCCATTGAACAACCGCTTCAACTTTTTTGTGTCAACTGCGATGCCATTCTTCGAGATAACATGACCCAAGAACTCAATATGATCAAGCCAGAAAGCGCACTTACTGAATTTAGCAAACAATTTCTTCTCACGCAAGGTCTGCAACACAAGCTTCAAGTGTTGTTCGTACTCCTCCAAACTCCTCGAGTACACCAGGATATCATCAATGAACACCACAATGAATTGGTCGAGGTAATGTTTGAATACCCTGTTCATCAAATCCATAAAAGCAGCAGGCGCATTTGTCAATCCAAAAGGCATGACAAGAAATTCGTAATGCCCATACCTCGTTCTGAAAGCAATTTTAGATACATCATCTGCTTTAATCTTCAATTCATGATATCCAGAACGAAGGTCGATTTTAGAAAATACCCGAGCTCCCTGAAGTTGATCAAACAAATCATCAATCCGTGGCAAAGGATATTTATTCTTGATCGTTACCTTATTGAGTTCGCGGTAATCTATACAAAGCCGCATGCTACCGTCCTTTTTCACAAATAGGACTAGAGCTCCCCAAGGCGAGGCACTGGGCCTAATAAAGCCCTTATCCAATAATTCCTGCAGCTGTGTTTTCAATTCTTTCAATTTAGATGGTGCCATCCGATATGGTGCCTTCGAGATAAGTCCTGTACCAGGCATCAGATTAATAGAGAACTCAATCTCTCTATCAGGTGGCAAGCCGGGCAAATCCTCAGGAAACACATCAGGAAATTCTCTAACAACTGGAACATTTTCCAGCTTCACAACTTCTTTACTAGTGTCTTTTACGCAAGCTAGATATCCATAACCACCTTTCCTTAGAAGCTTCCTCGCTTGCACTGCCGATATTAATCTTGGAAAAGTACCCTTACAACTTCCCGAAAAAGAGAATTCGGGCTCATTTGGGAGTCGAAAGGTAACTTTCTTTGAATGACAATCAACATTAGCATGATATGTTGATAGCCAATCCATCTCTAAAATAACATCAAAATCTCGAATATTCAACAACATCAAATCTCCAGGCATTTGAACATTATCGACCAAAAGCATACATCGCTTAAATACACGGTCCACAATAACGAAGTCACCCGTAGGGGTCTCAATACGCAATTCATATTCAAGAATATCAGGTAGCATATCAAGTTTCTTTGCGAATTCAATAGAAATGAAAGAATGCGTAGCACCAGGGTCAAACAATGCATAAGCATATTGCGAGGTAATTGAGATATTACCGGCAACTACTGTGTTAGACGCTGCCGCATCCTCTTCCGTCATTGCATAAACCTTCCTTGTCGCCCTCTGTTTTGGCTGATTCTCTTGGGGCCTACCAACTGAGGGAACATCCTTCCTCATGGAACTAAAGCGAGCTATATGACCAGGCTGTCCACATACGAAGCATAATCTACTACCTGCTGGAGTATCTCTCTGCATTGGACAATTCTGCCGCATGTGTCCCATCTTCCCACATAGAAAACAAGTTCCCCGCTTCCAATAGCATTGGCCACTATGATATTTCCCACAAGTAACGCAAGCACCCCGAACAGTTTGACTCTTCCCCCTTTCAAACCTACTAGTGCTTCTTTGTTTGTTGCTGTCACGAATACGGATCTCTTGGAAATTAGTGAACTTCGGCCTCTTGGGCTGAGGAATACCCTGGGTGCCACTCTCCATGATCTCTTGTTCAATCTTAATTGCTCGCTCCAGGACATCCTCATAAGTGGTGAGTAAAAGAGATGCGAGTGTAAAACGAATCTCAGGTCGAAGTCCTCTCAAAAAATGTTCAGCTTTCTCCTTCTCATTTGCCATAAAATGCTCCGCAAACCTGCTCATCTGATTGAAGCGACCCGCATAGTCTAAAACAGAAGAATCACTTTGCGATATATGCAGAAAATCGCCCTTCGTCTTTGTTTGGAAGGATTTTGGAAAGAACTGGGCGTTGAACGCTTCCTTGAAGTACTTCCAAGAAATAGTAGCATCTTCATCTCCAAGAGTGGACCTCTTTCCTTCCCACCAATACTCAGCTTCACCTTCCAAATATTGGGTGTCAAAGTCCACCTTCTTATCATTCGGAACTTCTTCAACTCTGAATATTCCCTCTATCTTCTTAATCCATCGCTCAGCTGCAAGAGGATCAGTTTTCCCATCATAAGTGGGCGGCTTTGACTTTCTAAACTGGGCAAAGGTGTAGCCTCTGCCACTCCCAGGTTCACCAGTTTCAACTACAACGTCTTGGGCCTTTGGCTATTGACTTTTCCCTCTTATTTCTTGCGAGTCTGCTCCTACGTCATCTCGCCTTCTTGTCGGAGACCTTACTCTCGGACCTCGAGGCACATCTCTCGAGTCGAAGGTAATGGCTCTCTTTCCCTTATTATTCTTACGAAAAGAGATGAGTGGCTCCGAGTCGGAACTCATAATTACCTAAATCCAGAATCAAGAATACACCTTAGTATCTAAAACTAACGCATTAAAGTCTATCACACAATCTCACAACGTCCCACCCAAAAATCATAACCTACGCTCTGATACCAACAAATGTCACACCCCGACCACAACCAAAACGGGATCATAACACGGCCGTCCTTTCACCCAAAGGACGCAGCCTCAACTTAAACAAAACCCGAATAACATCAGAGCTTTCTAAAACCATCAAAAGGATATATACAAATCCAACAAAAAGCTATTCCAATAGCTCAACGTCACTATGTACAACGTACCCAAAATCCCACAATCAAAAAGAAATCCTCCGACTAACGCCCGCTCATGCCCTACTTGCGGCCAGCAGAAGAACCTGAAAGATATGTAAGATAAGGGGTGAGCTACCACGGCTCAGTGAGTAACATATTTCTTCTAAGCGGACCGAACAATCACTATGCAATAGTATAAAAAATATCATAGCCCATAACTCAAACTCAATGTACAATATAGCCAAAAATATCTCAAAGGTATAATAACTTTTCAATAAAAGTCATCCGTATCAGATTACTCAATAAAAACTCACTTAACAACAATAGCCAATCATCAATGGTCTATCCATTGACTAATCTCATCACATAACACGTTGATGGTTTATCCATCAACCAATCTCATGCTCGTCATCAAACTATGGTCAAGTTTAACGCCGTGACAAAGGCGACCAAGTTTACCCCTCTTGGCAAGGTCTACCACCTATTATAAGCCGGCGGTTCGGCCCAGAAGGATATCCTGACAGTATGCATACTCCCCCCTCAACGGGTTCTCAACATAGGAATACGAGCAGCAACAACTTATAACTCAATCCAGAAATCCATAATCAACACCAATAAATCCATTTCACAAAACATTTCGCAACAAGAATAGCCCTCGGCTAATCCTCTTCACAAAACCTTTAATATAAGCATTCACAAAAGCTTCATTTTAATAACGTCATAAGACTTTTCAACTCATTTCACAATCGACAAAAGGTAGTAAATGATCGATCCAATTTATGCAGAAAACATGCTCCACTGTATTAAAAATTATATCTCATTATCAAAATATGAATTTGTAAATTCATAGAAGATATAATGTCCCTCACCTGGTAATCCAAAAACTAACCCATATGTGTTACTCGAGCCGACGGTTCCAAAATCCTATCAAACATACGGAAAACGAATCAAAACGAGTAATACTTCCCCCTAACGCGCGATTCAAATAAGCTAAGGCTAATTAGCCAATAATCCGACACCCACGTGCCCACGACGGCTTGCTCAAAGGAAAAAAATCTAATGCCAACCACAACGAACAACTCGCGCGCCAAATTTCCACACGCCATAACTTCCTCCACCGGACTCCGTTTTGCGCGCTCTTATAGTCAAAACGAAACTCATCTAGCATACTATGGATGTCCCAACACAGCCAACCCAAACAACAGCCCAAAAACGACAATAAAAGCCCTGGAAAGTACTGTTCACGAAATTCCAGATTATGCTCTCAACTTGAAAATTTGATTCCGGACAAACCGTAACTCCAAATCGATATCCGTCAAAACGCACAGCCCCACAACACCATAATCTTTCATTTTCATGGATACTTAAGACTTGACAACCCAAAAACTTGGACTACGCAGCTCAAATCCTCATAACTCTTATTTCCGAGCCCTAATCGAAAAATTACTCCGATAGGACTAACGAGGGTTGCGAGTACTTACTAGTCGTTGCGTTACGTAGTCGGAACGGCTCGGCGAGGACCCACGCGCACAAACCCTCCCTTTCACTTCTTCCCTTTCTCCTCTCCTTTTTCCTTTTCTTTTCCTCTGTTTTTCTTATGTTCTCCCGCGACCAGCCGCTGCTTTCTTCCTTTTATCTTCACTTTTTGACCCTTTTTTTTTTTTTTAATCCTCCTTCAGCCTAAGTCTTTTGACCTGGTCAAAAGAAGAGGCAAATGTTACACAAAGGGTGTCTGGAGTGGCGTTCGCTTGCGATAGTAGCCTAGAGATGGTCAAGAGTAGAAGGGGAGACTGGAGAGAGATGGTATTGGTATCAGGTGATTTCCAGAAATATGGTTACCCTTTTGTTTCCCTTTTAGTCTTTGGGAAAAACAGGAAGAAGAGTTGTCAGGCGAGTTCGCAGATTGTCAAACGCCTCCTTGCAAACTATCACCATATGATTTTCCATGCTTCATGCTAAGTGGTGAACTGAACTCTTTATTTTGAAAGCCATTTCACCGAAAAGTTTAATGTTCTTGTGGTCATCATAGATATCGTTTCGTCAACAAAGATTAAAAAGAAAAAAAAAACAAACTATTAGAAAACTTAAAGGTTGTTTCAGATGAAATTAGGATTAAAGTATGACTTTACATGCTGTGGAATGTAGTTAATCCCAGAAACTAGGAAACTAGTAAGTAATGATATGGTTCTTCTTGATGAGAAGGTGCGTCAAATGATTCTATATCTTAACTATCTTGCTTATTAGTTGAATTTTCATTTACCCTTTTGTCTATTATTTAGAATGAACTGATCCCTTGGACTAATCAAGTTACAACATGCGTTATCGTCTTCAAGATTTGCTCTAATGGAAGAGGAAATACGTATTTGGTGGAGGAATTTTCAAATGTTAAGAACAAGGACACTAATTGTGTTGTTATTGTTAGTAATAACAAGCTAACGATTCACTTTTCATGCCAACGTAGCCGGGGAAGAAATTGGAGATGATGACATGACAATATCTCTGATAGATTCGACTTCATTGAGTATCAAAACCAATGTAGTAAGATCGAAAAAGATGATGTGTTCGTAAGTGTTAGCTTTGATCTAATTATTATATCTAAGGCGATTTTCCAAAACATAAGGGTAGGAACTACTGATAACAAATGTCATTGGCCAAATTATGAAAGGAGCAATGAGCTTGAGAAAGGCCAATGAAGCCAAAATGAAAAGCATCCCTAAGCTTAAAGATAAGAGGTATAGTATGATAATAAACGCTACGTCTGCTAATGATTGGATAACTGGCACCCCTTGGGGATCTTGGTAGATAGATTTCCTTCTAGAGTTCTGTAGACTCAGATATTCAAAAGAATGCTAAGGTGGCTGCTGTAACAGAGGGAACTTTGGTTGGATCTGGCCTTCTCCCATATCTGAGGATCTACTTGCCATTCAAGTTGCTGTCCGTGGAGTTATATTCCCCAGGTCTAATGCTGTGGATCTGGTAAAATTCCTTGGTGCTCATCATGGGAAGTTGAATAAAAAAGAAGCCTGGACGTTACTAAGCCCTCCGGGTGGCCAAGGTTTAGCGGCACAAACTCATATGCTTTAGGCCCAGTGTTCTGAAGCACGCTCTTATCAAAAGGCTTGCTACTTTACATAGAATGCAGATCCAAGATAGGATGAATGGCAGTGTTCAATTGATGGGTGCTTGTCTGCTGTGAGAGAAGGAAGATGAAACAAGAGAGCATTCACTTTTCCAATGCTCTTTCTGAAGACAAATTTGGGTAAGTGTTCTTTCTTTGTTTAATTTGCCTAAGGCCAGCTAAGGCTTGGTCGAATGAATGCTCTCAGTTACTTGGAATCAAAAGAGTTTAAGGGTAATTCTGACAAACCTTGCTTGGAGCTCCTCCATCTACTATATATGGAGTGAGGAGTTTTAAGTGTTGCATGATCAGTGTGCTCCTATACTTGCAAAATACTTGCTAAGATACTTTTCTCTGTATGAAATACTTTTAAAGGAATGCTACAGGATAGGGAAATACAACTTCCTACCGAGGTTCAATCTCTATATAGCAACCAGAAGAGAAGATGTTGAATGCTGAGATGTTTCTAGAGCCCTTTGAACCTCTAGACACTCTTGGGCAAATGCCAAAACTGTTTGGTAACTATTTTTTGGGGCACATTTGGAAGTCTTGCGATGGCCTTTATCTCAAAGCCACTGGCCATCAGCATTGTGCATTTAGCATTTTTGAAATATTGGAGCCGATAATTAATGAAAATTTTTGTTCCTGTTTTGCCCTTACCAATTTTCTGATTCCTCTTTTACCCCTGAAGGAACACTGTTCATCTCTCCCACCGCTCGTTGTCCCTCTCTTTGAACCAAGGCAACGTGATTGATCGTCAAGGGTTGAGTGTCAACAAGGGTCAACGGTTGCCGAGGTACACGCGAGGCTCGCATGACACCGGCCAAGGGTCACATGACGCTCTTGCTCGATTTCGAGCCCTAGTCGACGGAGTTAGCGTAGCCGAGTTTGAGATGCGACTTGTCAGAGGTCGTGCGACGGGGCGCTGACTCGCCCGGGTTGCGCGATCCCAAGTGACCCTCGCCTGAGATCATGTAATCTCGAGGACGGCCGCCGATGACAGATCTAGTTCGTCGGTAGTTCAATTTTCTTTTTAGTTATTTATTATTATTTAAAATATATAACTAGAATCCTTAACAAGTGTAAATTTTTTCAAATAACAATTAAATTCCAAGACACTTTCCAATTACACTTTACTAAACGCAATTCCATTTCGAAAAAACCTTTTAACTTAAAAGTCTTTGCGTTGCCTTAAACGCGGCCATAGAAGACATTCTAGCTTCAGAGCAATCGTTGGTGTTCTGTTTTGGATAAGCTATAAAATCTTTTTGCCCAACCGAGAGAGGGGTGGCTAAGCCCCTTACAAGCCAATGTTGCAACTAACTCTTCAAGCACAGCCAAGTTAGACCAAATAAAGGTGCCAACAGACCATCCAAACAACCCAATCAGACGGGAAAAGTGCCAAAAAAGTCCTAAATCGTTTGTATTGATGCCAATTTAGTCCTAAATTATTTTTTTGTGCCAATTCAGTCCTAAACCTTTTGTATTGGTGCCAATTTAGTCCTAAACCTTTTTTTTGTGCCAATTGAGTCCTAAACCTTTTGCATTTGTGCCAATTCAGTCCTAAACCTTTTGTCTTTGTGCTAATTCAGTCCTTTCAATCAATTTTGGTCGGATTTTACTGACGTGGACGCCGACCGGCCGGTCACCGGCGCTGACGTGGACAACTTTAATAATATTTTAATATTTTTTTGAATTTTTATAATTTTTTTCTTTTTTTTTCTCTCCCCTCCTTCCAGCCGGTCGCCGGTCCGGCGACCGGCCGGTGGCCAGAGGCCGGCGCCGGCGAGGCTCGCCCACGCCGGCCACCGGGCGAGGGCGGCTTCGCGGCCGGGCGAGGTCGTGCCTCGCCCAACCGCCGGCGAGGTCGTGCCTCGCCCAGCCGCCGGCGAGGCTCGACCTCGCTAGATCCGGCAAGGTCGGGCCTCGCCCACCACCGGCGAGGCTCGCCCTCGCCAGCGACGGCGAAGGCAAGCCTCACCATGGCTAGGCAAGGCCCGACCTCGCCAGATCTGGCGAGGTCTTGCCTCGCCCAGCCGCCGGTGAGGGCGGCCTCGCGCTGGGCGAGGCTCGACCTCGCCAGATCCGGCGAGGTCGAGCCTCGCCGGTGCCGGCCTCTGGCCACCGCCTGGTCGCCGTTCCGGCGACCGGCTAGAAGGAGGGGAGAGAAAAAAAAAAAAAAAAAAAAAATTAATAAAAATTCAAAAAAATATTAAAATATAATTAAAGTTGTCCACGTCAGCGCCGGTGACCGGCCGGTCGGCATCCACGTCAGCAAAATCCGGCCAAAATTGACCGGAAGGACTGAATTGGTACAAAGACAAAAGGTTTAGGACTGAATTGGCACCAATGCAAAAGGTTTAGGACTCAATTGACACAAAAAAAAGATTTAGGACTAAATTGGCACTAATGCAAAAGGTTTAGGACTCAATTGGCATCAAAAAAAGGTTTAGGACTCAATTGGCACCAATGCAAAAGGTTTAGGACTTTTTTGGCACTTTTCCCCCCAATCAGCTGTACACTACCTAGGAGAAGATAAAAGACTACATTCTACTACTATCACGAAGACGTTCTCAGAGCAACAACACTCGAATTCAGTTACCAAGCTAGAATCTGATTCTCCATTTTTCACATGATTTACTGAATTCAGCATCAATCACTTTCTTCCCATCACATTTAAGTGCTTCAATGGCAGCTCGAACCGAAAGGAAAATTGCGGCAACAACTTTTCTACCTTGGAGAGTACTCTGTTCTTTTCCTTCCAAACATCGTGGATTGAAGCATTTCATTTGAAGGACAAGAAGGCAGGAGATTCGTAGAAGTAAAAGATGTTCCTCGGTCCCCTTGAGTTTCAATGTGAAATGTTTGCTACTTTCTTCAACTTAATAAAACTCGGAATTCTGTGTTTTCAGATTGATGCATTATGGAACTCACAAATGTTGTCTAATTGCCAAGAGCAAACAATCAAGTCGATCACTTTTTCCCTGTTGAATTCAACTTGCAGATTTCTCCTCGATGACGACGGCATAATGTAGACCCTTCTTGATGGATCACCTGTCTTGCTGCGATACAGCAGCAGGGGTAGTGCGGATAAACCACAAGATGATCACACTGCATCATATCTGTCCTGATGGGGGCAATAGCTAGTTAGTAACTGGACGTGTCAATGAACGATGAGATGATTGCCATGAATCCAATAACAAAAAGCTTTAGAAAATTGCTTTTTTATTTTGTCACCCCAATAGGACCATACAGACTCCAGAGTTGCTGCAAGTTTTTAAGCACAGTGCCAACCAAGATTGTGGCAGGCAATCTTGATGACTATCTTCAGACAGGAGTATAACTGATGATATCTAAGGGGAAGCAGTAAAATTTGTTGATTGAGGCTGGCAACGTTGGTTTATTCTGTGGATAGAAGTGATGACAGTATGCTCTGTTGCATTTCTCTGCACCGGCCAAAAGTGAATCCTGATATAGGGATCAACAATTGCTAGATGATAATCCTTCTGTTCTGTCTCGGTGCTCTGTGCATGCGGAATGAGTATTACTTTGTGTTTCCCTTCTCGTGGATGAGTCATTAGTGTCCGGTTTCTCACTGCAATTGTGAGAGATGGTGCGTTAGATATCTGTTTAACATCAGTGTTTGATCTATAAATCGGCCATGCTGAATTAGACTGATGGAAATCATATATTGTGATAGTTGAAGGGGATGATAGTTGAAGATGAGTGCGCAGATGCTACACATATTGGGTCCACAACTCCGATATCGGTAGGATATGGAGGGGGTGCTTTCTTGTTCTCTTTCAAGCGAACCGCTGATGACGACTGCTTCAAATCGGTGTGTTCTTGGAGAGAATTCTAATTTAATCACCCTCTTTCTCCTTTTTTATCTTTATTTAGAAAAAGGCGGCATGAGAAGATTGGTGCCGTAAATCACAACAAAATTCCTGAGCTGCCTATTTCATTTCATGCATGTAGCAGCACATGTTAAGATTTTCAGACACAATATTTCGTGTTTGACCCCAAAGAAGTCGATTAAGTTTAAACCTAAGATGCACTAGAATTGTGATATCGTTGACATGCAGATCCTTGAATCTTGTTCAAATATGCAATAGCATGATCTCTTCTAGTCATTTTATCTTGAGAAACCAAGGAGTAATTCCGAAAAATTGACCAGCAGGCGACTTCTAGCCCAATCTAGTTGCCGTTGCCAAGCAAAATAGGCAATCCCTAATTAAAAGTGTCTACCTGTTGATTGTCAAACTTAAGAGAAAATACATCCTGGATCCCAACTCTTGAAAATGGTCACTGCAAATTCCTCTCGACCCGTTGAACATTTTAGCAGCATAAAACAACACGATGAACAATTTGATGTTTTAGCCTTAACATGTGTGCAGAGAGCCACTCCTCCATAAGCAGAAGCATATTGCTCAAGCAGCAAAACGAAAATGTTCGTCAAACCAAGTATAGGGGACTTATATGTGCCCAAAACATCTACTGGGGGACGCTCTGAAGAGGAGTTTTTGTCACCAAAGTGGTGGTTGTTCTTATCGTAGCAACAGGAATGCTTTATCAATATCTACTGCTATATGTACTTTGACGAAGGCTGGAAAAAAAAAAGGCGAATCATAATGCAACTCGATCAATCTCAGATGTTGGGATGACTGGGTATGCATAGAATCAGCTCAATCGGGGTCTAAATAGCTGTAAGTCTTCAATCCATCTAGTGCTGATGTATGGTGCTATGATCACCAATTCATCGCGGAATCTTGCATTTTCAAGATTATGGGACGTGACCAAAGCTAGTGTTAGGACAGTCAAACAGCATATCAGCCTAAGATTGCAATAAGAAAATGTTTATCAAAGAACTGAGTGTACCAAGCAAGGTTATCGCGACCCTGTCCTTTGAATCAATGTCAATGCCTTTCTATAAGAACACACGTGCCAACCCGCTTTCAGAAACATATAAATCAAATATTTGATGCATATTTTCCGCTAGCCTTTTGCAAGTAATCTTAGCAGTTTGGCCTATTGCACGCCTTGCCTTTGTGCCATCCGATGTCGGAGGGATTTCTTTCTAGGTTCATTTGCCCCCACCGACGATGAACATCTTGATGTCACGGGGTTAAATCAAGACTGCTTTTTGGATACAACGCCGGAATTCATATAATTCAGTAGTCAAAGACTACACAGAATAGTTCGTATTCTCTAAGTATCAATTTGGCTGCCAGGAGTTCATTAGCGAGTATTGAATGACACCGGGAGCTATACCTCCCTGTTTGGGCACGTCCATCATCTTAAAGGAGTCCCTTTTCTTTCACTTCTTTTTTTTTTTTTTGGTCGACCCTTTTCTTTCACTTCAAAGGTCCAATTTAAGACCGCTTCACTTCTCCAGCTAGGAATTTCTTAAGACAAACAGTAATGTTTGGCAGAGACAAGCAGCAAACTCTTATCCTCGTGCATTGTCTTAGACTTGGGTCAGGTCACTGGATTTTCATGATTTAAGTCTACTTACTCCCCAAATTTTTTTCCCACCGCAATCCATCTAGCTCAGATGAGTATTACGTGAGGAATTATCGCGTAACCGCAGTGCTCATACCCAGCAAAAATTAAATCTTGAGAAACCAATTGAAGTAGCATCAAGATTGGACTATACCAAAAGCCAGTTGCATCTACCAAAGCCCACCAAATATTCACTTCACCGCAGGTTGAAATTCTCTATTTCGAATAGAACCATCCAATCCTACCCCACTACGAAAATGTATCTCATTGTAAATACCACACCATGCATAAAGCAGATTCAGTACCTTCTTTAATGTTCCTTCTTTCTTTTACTTTTTGATAGAGAGAGAGAGAGAGAGAGAGAGAGAGAGAGAGAGAGAGAGAGGAAAAGGGCAAGGAGAAGAGGGCAAACGCAACGGGACAGAGGAAGGGGATTGCAGAGTGCAAAAGGGTCAAAGAGAAAAGGGCAAGACCCAATCAAAGCCGGCATTTAAGTCAGCCGAAGTGAAAGATCAGCGGAAGAGTTGGCAACCTTTTCATTGAATTCAGAGAGCACCATCCCTCCACTTCATACAACCACATTCATTTCAACTTTGGTTTTATCTTATTGTATCTTTGTTTTGCCTGAGGAGACTAGGATTTGCCTTTCCAGCAACGCACGCACACCCGCCCAAAAGCAAAATTTAATAAGCTGGCCGCTTTCTTTTCAACCCTTTTCCTTGAGACAATCCTCGAGTTCAAAAGCTTCTTCTTCTGCTTCAATCCCTCTGGCGGTCATTTCTTCATCCACAGCGCGTCCTCCTCACGCTCTCCCTGGATCACGTGCCTCGGAAGATGGGTTCTCCCAGTTTTCTCCTCCTCTTGTGACTGAGGAGAAGGAAAGTGAAAAACGATATTGCCGGTGGTAAATAATACAGGAGTTACAGCAGCTCAAGAGACGTGGTTAAAAACACATTCGATGCCATGCAGTTCTTGGCCTGGTCAATCCACGTGAAGAAATGACCTTTCCTTAAACTCGATTATCATCTCGTTTTTTCTTGATACTGTTAACGTGAGTGGCCAGCTAAAAGCAACTATCAACACTTACAGAAGGCAAAACCCCGGAGAGTTCAGCGGGTCTAGTTCATCACTCCATTTGCTTTTTTTTTAACTCTTTTTAACAAATTTTGAGCATGGAAAAATATTACAAGAATGACAAAACTAGCTTCTAATTAACGATTATTAATGACAGGTATTAACAGGATAATTGCGTGGCAATTAGAGGAAGATGCACATGATAAGGTGCGGTCTTAAATCTCTATATTTTCGGCTCGAGTCATTGGGATCCGTGAGGGTTTTGCACGTGATGCTACTGCACATACCCATCGACATGTGAGATTGTACCTTGTCCCAGCTAGCCATCGATCCAAAAACAATAAGTAAATTGCATGGCACATAGCGGGGGCTTTCACCAGCATTTACTAGTCTCAAATGTAGGTGGCAACGACAGATATTTGGGAGTCATTCCCAAACTCATGATATTTGATTTGATGTGTCAAGACCACAAGCGTATACGATTTAACTTTCTATCGTGCACTTCGGGGCACTTTCGACTGACCTATCAACTTGCATCCCATGAGACTCCAGCTAAAAGTCGACTGATGCGGCCCCAAATTCATATCGAGTGAGAAACCCTGCGATTTAAACGCGGGTCTATTGCATCAGGAAAAAACAAATAAGCACTTGTCCACTCAACCAATTCTTTAAAGTCCGAGATTCGCAACTGCAGCAAGGGCGGTTTGGTTTGGGGCGCACTCGATTCGATTCGAGAAAAATTGAAACCTCGAGGGGTCCATTGCATCAGAAAAAATAAATAAACGCTCATCCATACTCAACCAATTCTTTGAAGTCTGAGATTCGCAACTACAACAAGGGTGGTTCGGTTTGGGGCAAGCTCGATCCGATTCGAGAAAAATTGAAACCTCGACTCCAATGACGCTCCACGGGATTCTTTTATTTACACAATTTTCTTTCTGATTTCCCTGGTCCGTATATATAAATTATTTCGTGGGACTCTATAGCTATTTTGCACAGTATAAAACTCAAATCACCATTTAATTATACAAGCGTACTTTCGATGCGAAACCGAGCTTAGGCTAATTAATTGCCGCCGTACTTTTTCCACCGGCACTTTCTGTCCGAATCGAGCTAAACAATCCTTTTTAATCGACCAAACGTCCTCCAAAATAAGCTAAGATATTCACATAAGTCAAAACCAAAGATTTCAGACGCGAGCTGGGTCAAACCCACTTTTTGCAATTTTGAAAGTCCCAGGGGAAAATCATGTGGTAATACCCATTGGTTGCCATTGAAAGGACGATTTGGGTTCTTCTCAAACGAGGGGGAAATCACAAGATTGCATCAAAACTTGGTAAAACCTTAGTACGAACCCTTTGTTTAAACCTTTGCCTTCGTTATGCAACACACTGTATACGTCGACACGAGGGTGTCAAGCACCGTGCCGGGATTCCCGGGCCTCCCCCTCCAACCTTTACTTGCACGACTCTTGTCTAAATTGCATGCTCTTATTCAATAACTTATTGACGATTAAATTAATAAATGAGAATACGGACATGGACATTGTACCAAAAAATTGAATAAACATAAATAAGAGGGACAGAAATTAATTTCTAGGACAGATCATAGGCGCGTGCGATGTGTACGTTCTTGAAAATGCTCATAAAAGTGACAAAGATGGATGGGGCTTGGTGTCTTTCTTTCTTTTTTTTCCTTCTTCTTCTTTCGTGAAATCTTTTGGGAAGACTTGGTCATTTGAAAAGAAGGGTCCCATTTATAATTTTGATTCGTTGATGGCGTACAGGAAAGGGAACTATGATGAGGTATTCGGACAACAGTCATACGCACGAGGTCCAGTCTAGGGCTTCAATGAGGGAATGAAACTTGAATCACACCAGATTCTTAAACCTCTAGTTTGGAATGACAAGGGAGTGTTTGTTAGTCGATTGGTGTCGTTCCTTACGAATGTAATGATACAGTACTGACGTATGCATTATTCGATCGTGTCGATGCTCCGAAATGAACGTACATTACTCAACCCTAGTTTCGGCCACCTTGATTGCTTGATTCGGGATACAGTCATCGATGTTTTTCCTCCGACGAACATATGAGCGTGTTTCTAAATAGGCTTGATGTTTTTCCTTTGCCAACGACTCGATCGTCAAAGCCTAAGGATGCGCCGACTTAAGTCTCCATTCGATCCGTAAGAGGAAGTTAGTCTCGGCCTCTATCGACTTGTTTCTGAGTCGATGCTAAGATACGTGCTATAGTTAATGTATGATCAATCGAATCTCTTTTAGTGACGCTAGTATGTTGTCAGTAATATATCACCCACATCGTCAGCGTCAGCAAAAGGGATTTCAACTCTTGCCAAAAATAAAATTTTAAATAAAACACACGTCTTTTTCCACATATAAGATGGGTGATTAGTTATAGAGACGTGGACATTGAGAGAATATAGGGTAGCAAAAGTCGTTGATGCACCTAATAATTCCACAAGGGCGTTTCATTAATTTAGGATAGGAGCTTGCGGAAATGTCGAGAATGGATGAGACGGGTTTCGAAATAATAGCATACATAATTATTATATACCCTACTAAAAATGATTACTTATATGTATTTGGGGGCGAAAAAGAGAATGGAAAAAAAACCGAGACAAGTACAGTCTTCTCGCTATTACATCACCGACATCTAAACCTTTTTGAAGGTGCCCAAGACAAACAAAGTCTGCTTTTTAGAGCTCACACTTTTTTAAGTCCCAAAGGGGGGAATTGATATTGTAATGAAATTGTAAAAAACGACTGTAAAAAAAGTTTGTGAACTTTCTACTCGAGAAAAGCGAGCTCAAAAATATTAAATGCCGGGCTTAAAATATGAGGTGGATGGTGCATGCCTGTCTTGACATTTTGAGCACCATAATTTGGTCATGTGAAAAGGTACTTAATGGAATATATGGAATGAAGAATATTGGATCTCCGGAATATTAATTAGCGAAGAAAAGGAGTTGTTGGATAGAAAATGACAGAATTTTTCAGTATCTTAATGTTTTGTTAAGTGCTCCAAAATTATGCTTTTCATAATCCTTAGTTTTCTCTAACATATGCCGCTAATACTGCTAGTTTATATAATTTTTCATCACGTGGGTCCCCGTAATCCATGGGACAACTTAGCTTATCATCCTCCCTCTCTCTCTCTCTCTCTCTCTCTCTCTTCCAAAATAGCAGTCACTTCTTTGTCGACCGGTGCTACATTATAGCCTGGAGAAGGAGAGAGAGAGAGAGAGAGAGTGAGACTGTGTGTGTGTGTGTGTGTGTGAGTTTCTGCATTTTGTTGCACAAGAAATCAGAGAGAAGAAAATTTTGTCAAAAGGGCGCCGTAAGATCCGCCGAAGCTTGAATCTTTTTAGCTTTTCAAGAATCTTTCAAACTCCTCATTATCCTACAGCGAGGCACTAGCGACCGGCTTGGGCTTTGTTGTTGACTTTATGAGCGCATCGAAACGATGCCGCCTCCCGTTCGCACCAAGAGACGACCGGCGCTCCCTTCTCTGGTGCTGCTTCAGCTGTTGATGATCCTGCTCCTGCTGCTCCCCGCATGCGTCCTTCGGGATTGCAGAGCCGACGCCATGCGCTTGATGCCCGGGAGAATCGGCGGCGGCGGCGTCGGCTTGATCGTGACGGAGAAGATGACGACGAGCCAATCGCAAGTGGTGGGCTCGCACAAGAAGACCAAGCAAGAGTTGTTGCACAAGTACTTCGATGGAAGACGCAACGCGAGTCCCACTGACTCATCGTCGGTTCTTGAAGAGAGCAAGAGAAGAGTGCCCAGTTGCCCAGATCCTCTCCACAATTGATCCCCAAGTGTTCCTTCTCTCTCTCTGCGTGTTTCTTCTTTCTCTGTTCCATCAGTTTCTTGAATTTTGTTATTGAGTACCCAAAATACCCACGATTTTCTCATCTGGAAGCTGGGCTCCTAGTAAGTCAATGGAGGGAAAACCGGGGGTATTTTGGCATTTCCAAACCCTTTTTGGGTTCGTTTTCTCGACTGAGGAGGATCCAGAAATATCTGGAGAGAGGTTCCTGATGTGTACAGAGAAAGAAGTTCGAGAATTGATCAGTTTCCACAGTACAACTTACATGGGCACTCATTTTTTCTTTGTATTTACGAGATCTTCCAGGTGACTTCTTGCTTGCATCTTTAGATTTTCTTATTTATTTGGCCCCTTTTGGTGGCCCTTTGGGTGGTAGAAGAAGAAGAAGAAGAGTGGCAGAAACGCAATACCTAGCTAAAGCCTCATGTCAAAATGCTATCCATCGGTCTGTACCCGGCAACAAAAAATGGAACAAAATAATTACCTCCTCAAAAATCAAGCTTGGAAGCGGAGGCGATTTCACTGTGTGCGCCCTGTACTTGGGCCGCACAGAGTGTTGTCAAGGAAGATCGCAATCTTCTATTCATCAGAAAAGAAACCTGCCATCTTTTCAACCCATCTTTTCCTTGGATTCTTTCTAGGAAGCTTTTCCTTCAAGAGTAAATAAAGTAAAAAACGATGAAGGAGGAGGAAAAGGCTATTTCTGGCGCAATTCAGTAAAACTCTTTTCCCTTTTTCTGAGCTTTACAACTCGGGGTTTTGTTTTGAAGTGGCTTGTCCTTTTGATGCATCTCCTGGTGAATTGCATCACTCTGTACTCGTTGGCTCTCCCAGAGGGGGTACCCTATCTTCCCAGAAGAAGTAAAGTGTGATTCATTCAGATGTCCTTTGGGATTATCCATAAGAAAAAGATAAAAGAATATCAACTGCCCCATTTCGTGAGAAATCAATGCTTGATGTGGGGCGTTGTCTGTCTATATTGGAGTAAACCTATGTTGAAGTAGCCCTAGAATGTGATGGACTCGTTCATGATTCCGGAACATACCAAAATCTGATCTGATTTCTCCACATTGACCACCATAAGCTCACTGACGCTGCAGTGTAAAATCGAGCTTTGCATACTGTGAGATTGACTATACTATGGCTTTGTGTGGGTTGCACGATGCACGAGGAAGATGGAATACACTCCTCGACTGCTTAGTGATACAAAAAAAAAATCGCTTAGATTGGACAGGTCACAGAGGTTACCTAACAACTCGTGTCCGGCTAAAATATCTCAAGTCACAAACTTTGAATTGGATTTCGGAGGTGGCCGTGCGTTGCATGGATCGAAGAGTACAATCTCATCTTTCGAAAAATCAAATGAGATAGTTATCTTTCGAAAATTCAATCAATCCATACAAATTTAATGATTTTATAAACTCATTTTAAACATATTCGCTCTCATCAATGGTAAACCGGTAAGATATATATCAGGAAAAAAACACCACAAGTGTTAAAATTTTCGTATGGCACTCACTTAAGTATTATAATTTTTTTTATCACTTGAGTGCTATAATTTATGTACGGTACTCACTCGAGTGCTATAACTTTTTTTTTCAATCACTTGAGTTTCATATAACTTTTCAATCGATCAGTTGAGTACTATAACTATTTAAAAATGTTCACCTCAAGTGCTTTGTTGTGGTAGATTTACAACACATGGATGAACATTTTTTTAATAATTTGACACTTAAGTGATCGATTGAAAGTTGTAGCATTCAAGTGAATGTTTTAAAAAAGTTACGGTACTTAAGTGGTAGAAAAAAAAGTTATGACGCTCAAGTGAGCGTCATACGAAAGTTATGGCACATGTGATATTTTTATCCTGATTTATATCTAATTAGCATTTACTTATATTTACACGTTACTATGAATATGTGCCATCTGTATTGAACCCATGAAGAAAATTTGATGTGGGATATTTTCTTAAGTATCTATATTGCATCATTACCGCCCTAAATGACACTAACATCAATTTACATCTGAATATATATATTTGCGCATTTATGATTTCATTATCATGAATTGTACTTCGCCTAATGGGTTGGAGCTACATAGCTCCTATATAATGCGAGAGTCAAATACTTGTTCATCACAGTATGGCCTGCAGCCCTCTCCCACAAGGCAAGACAGCAAAATTCTGTAGCGTGATAAAAATGTGACGAACATAAGATTCATGCATTTTTTACCTTCTAGCTAGTAGAAGCTTTAGGGTGATATCGGAATCTATCAACTTACCATCTATTAAAAGTATACTTAGGCGAGGGTTTGATAGAAGTTCTAAGAAAAACGGGGATTGAGATAAGTCCATTGCATGATAGATATGGGTAGTCATATCATATGCACTTAGAGAGTGAGGCTTGCCTTATATAGACGAGTCTAGATGTATCAAAACCCATTTCTTAATATATATATATATATATATGATGGGTTGAGTTGTTATATGAATTAATTATATTTAGTAAATGGGTCATAAATAGGTTTAAACATAATATGAGTGTTAAATGGATCATAAATTGGATTATAACTTACTTAGACACAATCCATCTCTATGACTCTCTTTTCATGTTCTCTTGCCCTCATTCGATCTCGAGCTCACTTACCGAGTTTAAAACTGAATTGGCAAACGTGAAAAAGTTTAAATGATTGCGTATCGTCGCGGCTCGGCTACTCATCACCTTATTCCTATCCTCTCCTTCCTTCTAATTTACGATTTAAAATATTTAAATATTTTTTTGAACCTTTTATTCTTATTTTCTTTCTTTTCCATCTTTTTCTTATTCCTTTATTTACTTTTTTTTATGATTAAGGGCCCGATAGGGGCTATCGGCTGAGGCTCGACAACCATTACTGACCACTAGATGAGGACCTAAGAGCCCTCGCCAGCTACTGTCGATGGCCGCGGCCCTTGCTCAAAGCTAGCCGAGGGCTGCGAGTGTCACGCCCCGAACCCCGCAGGCGCACGACATCCCGCTACGGTCGTTAAAATGCGACGTCCCAGGACCCGTCACTGACCCTTCATTTTATCCTTTAGTACGCATGCGGAAGCGAACACAACAATTCCCGGACAACAATAATAAGCAGGGATAGCATAGGAAAACTAGACATAACAAAAGTCATTTTAATATTCACTTGATTAACCCCTGGGAACATACTTACAGGCCCACTCCGGGCATTTCCACAAAGACCAGCAAAAGACAAAGGTTAGGGTTAATCTACTCCATCCAAAAGATCAGCTTCCAGGCCTAACCCTCAAGGACCAACCAAAAACTGCGGTACTCCAAACCGCATAAGAAGCAACGACAAGCTAAGGTCCTGAAAAAGGTTTAACAACAACAAATGAGATAAAATCTCAATAAGTTAACGGCCTAAGCCCCGCTTAGGAGGCCAACTCGCACGGGGGTCCCTAAACAGGCGAAACGGCGACAACAACATCATTAACAACCACAGGCATCCTCACCTCGCCTTGGTACACACGTTGATGAAATGCATATGTCACATACTCGAAGCATTTAACGAGATTTTCCATGCATTAATGCAACACAGTCGCGCGTGTCTCGATTATAAGGCAAAACCCGCTTGGGCACGTCCCATACCATGCCTAGCAGTTTCTACCCCATAATCAAGCACTATGCATCACACGTATTCCAATTATTACGCCCCCCTCGGGGCCACCACACATCAAGCGATACGCAGCAAGATGGCGGTCTACCGGTAAAAACCGGGCTCCGTCCCGCCCCGTCGGGCACGGCTACGTCAAACGATACACAGGATGACGGCATTCCAATACGGCAACATCAAACGATACACAGTAAGATGGTATCCCGTAAGGAGCATCGAGTCCGGCCTCGGGCCACGACAAGGCATCCGGGGTATCGGCACTCCAGATTATCCCCCAGGCATCCGATAAATCGGGCAACGTCAAGCGATACACAGCAAGACGGCTTTAACGTGTGACCACACGAGCACACAAGCATTCCGGCCAATTATTATCTTCTCAATTAGCCCATGCATACATGAATCGTGCTCTCCTCGATGTCATACAATAATACCAAATGGCCACACATGCAAACAGTCAATCAATTCTTTCAATCTTCGATATCAAACACGAATATCAACCACAAAGTATCACTAACATTACTTGGCATAACAGAACAAAATAATTTAATTCCAAAAGTCTCATAAATTTTTCCACGGAAACTTTCGATCAAACAATTTACCATAAAATCAATTTAATACGACAATACGCGGCAAAATCGCCAACATTCAAGCTAGAAATCATAATTTGAAATTATAAATTTTCCGAAATAACAATAAATTAAATTCGGAATTAATTAATTAATAATATCCGAAAATAATTTAATTTTCCAAAATGTCAAAATATTTCCTCGAATCGAAATCATTCAAATCATTTCCTAAATACGCCAACTTATACGGCGAAAACCAACATTGGCATCACAATTTGACGCTAGAAATTTTCCGAAAATAATAACATTTAATTTTCGGAAATTAATTATTTAATAATAAAATATTAATATTTAATTAGGAATTAATATATTAACTAATAAAATAATATATAAAATTCCGAAAATAATTGATTTAATAATAATAATCAATAACAATAAACTAATTAATAACTTAAACCCTAAACACAATTAACTAAACACTAATCCGTAATTAACACATAATCGTAACTAGACAAACTTAATATTAATCTAAACACTACTTAAACTACCCTAAGCAAGTTTAACACCCTAAACGCGGGATTAGGAGTTAACTTACTCGGCTAACGCCGGCGACGACGCGAGGACGACGGCGGCGGCGAGGGCGGTCCGCGGTGTCCTCGGGTTGCTCCGGCGAGCGACGAACGGACATGGCGAGGGGAGGTAACTACTGTGGTGGCTGGTTGGGGCTGCTCCGGCGGCTGGGATTGCGGCGGTGACGGTTGGAGGTGGACGGCGGAGTCGGTTCCGGTGAGGCGCTAGCCGGCGGCGGACAAAAGGTCCAGCGGCGGGGTGGCGCACGGCCGGGCCGGCGTTGCGGCGCCACAAACAAGCGAAACAGCCGGCGTCGGGAGGGAGGAAAAAGGGAAGGAGCTGGGTGGCGCGACGGCGCGAGGCGACGGTGGCGGGCGGCGAGGACAAGCCGGCGTCGGTCGGGCGCAAGAAAGAGCAGCAGATACGGTCGTGTTCGGGAGGGGCAAGCCAGCGAAGGAGAAGAAGAAAAGGGAGAAAGAAAAAGGGAAAAGAAAAGAAAAAGGGGAAAAGA